AAAATTTCATTACCCCTACCTGGACCTAGCATAATTTTTAAAAGGGAATCTGATAAAGCTTGAGTCGAATTGATTGAATTTAGAATGAAAAAGTGTACATCAAGTCCCAATTCGAGAAGGGATAGTCTCCAGACTCTCAAAGGAAAATATAATGAAAAATAATCACACCAGAAAATAACATGACTCAAGCAATAAATCCCACCCCGAGGGGAGATGGGTTACTGCTACGTAACCACCCACTCAGCCATTTAGTGGGTTGTTTGAAATGCCCATTAACATTTTGAGCTGCTCCACTTCTGCCGGCCCACCCTGTGCCATCTGCTTTTTCCTTCTTGAATACACCAATCTGATTGGACGCTTATCAGAATCCAAATATACAATATTAAATTTAGGGTTCTATATGTTGTGGCCTTTAATACTCAATTGGCCATTGTTATATCTGGACTTGTTTGTTATTTTTTCGTATACAGGTTGGTTCATTATTGTGAGTATTTTGTAAAGTCAATGGTTCATGAGAAAGAAATTAATGTTGAATGCAGATGAGTGGAGAAACTTCCTTACTCGGATTGGCCGTGATGAAAACACATCAGAATCAGATCTTAGTAATAATCCCAATGATATTCTTGAATTGCGTTTTTGGGCTTCATACAAAGGGCAAACATTGGCTAGGACTGGTACGCGTTTCACTCATATATTTGCTGTCTTATGCCACCAATGTTTTGTCACCTACAACCTATGCTGCGTTCAGCTGTTTCTACATCAAAACCCATAATAATCCCAAGCCTGTTTGGCTATGAAGGTGAAGATGTACAAAAAACTGAGCATGTCTTTCCATTGGACCTTTTGATGCATTGTTGCTTTTACTACCTAAAACTTCATAGAAAGTAATTAGCAAAAAAAGTTTAGTCCGCTATTACTTGAAGTAAAAACATTGTCACTAACAACTCTTTTAGCTCCAATGGCATGGATGCATGCATTCAACTCATTGTGTTAACAAATAATGAATGAAGTAATTTTTGCATTCCGTTTTTGTTCCCTAAATTTTCCTTGCTCAATCAAAGTATAAACTAGAAATAAAAAAGTGGTTTGCTGGGAAAAACCATTTTTTACCAAGTGGAAACACAAAATGGTATGTGCTCATTTTTATTTGGTTACTTTTAAAGGAGAAAGGGTGAGAATGTAGCTCAGAAAATATATTGAGATTTGTAAAAAAAATAAATGGCTTATATTTTGAACTTTTTTGAGATGTGATTATTCTTATACTCTATGATTTTGGTTTTGCAGTGTGTGGAATGATGTACTACCGAAAAGCTCTCATGCTTCAAGCATATTTGGAAAGGGTGGCAGCTCAAGGTTATCATATACGAGATGAAGTTATTATGTTCTAATGTTCTTTTTCTCATTAGTCATTATTGTGGTTGTTTACTAAAAATACTCTGGTACATGCATCTTTAGATTCTGAGGCTGTAATTTCACCGAGCAAAGCAACTGATACCCAAGGTTTTGAGTTGTCTCTTGAAGCAAGAGCTCAAGTAGATCTCAAATTTACCTATGTAGTTACCTGCCAAATATATGGGAAACAGAAAGAGAATCAAAAGCCTGAGGCTGCGGATATTGCATTACTAATGCAAAGGTGATCAAATGGCGATCTCTTTTATTTAGAAATTAATTGATGATTGTTAGATTTAATCGTATTGTTTAATTCCTGGTCATAAGTTATTAGTTTAGATTTAAATTTTAAAAATAAAAGGGACATGGGTAGTTATTTCTGGAGGTTAAAGGTAGTTATTTCTAGAAGTTGTATTAGTTAGTAATAGATATGTTGATTAGTATCAAAAGTTGTGTTGGTTGATGTCTATAAATAACCTAGGAACATAGAATTCCTGAATGGAGTTTAGAATAAAAAATCAGATCTGGAGTATATAAACAGAGTATTTTATAAACAGATCTGCATTTGTTTTGTTCTTCCAATTATTTTCCTACAGTTGGTATCGGAGCGTGTGCGATCAGCGGCAAGAAAAAGGGAGATCTGCCTTGACAACAGATCAAAAATCTTCGACAAGATTCTCTTCCTCGCCTAGGACAAGAATAGCAAGTGGCTAGTTTTTCCTTTGGCAGAAGCATTCCAACCAAACACTGCGGGAAAAACGAATCAGCGGGGTTGCTTTCATTTAGTGGCTTGGAAGACAGAAAAGCAGGGGCTTGTTTTCTGGTTGGTGGTTGATTGCAGGTGGCTTACAACCCGGGAAGGAATCGAAGTTAAGAATTTTGTGAAAATTGTCAAAGGAATTAAAGTGGTGCAATGGAAGACAACAGACAGATTGTGACTACAAGGGAAAATAGTTCACTATCTTTTCAGGTTCCAATTCTAACTGCTACAAACTACACTATTTGGGCCGTGAAGATCAAAGCAATTTTTAATGTTAATGGGCTTTGGGAGGTGATCGAACCAGGAACAGAAGTCGATCCAAAGAAGAACAATATGGCAATAGCATATCTGTTTCAAGCTTTGCCAGAAGAGATCGTACTACAAGTTGCTCAGCTTACGGAAGCAAAAGAAATTTGGGATGCTTTGAAGACTCGCTTCGTTGGTGTTGACAGGGTTAAAGCGGCGCGATTACAGACACTTGAATCAGATTTTGAGACTCTAAAGATGAAGAACAATGAGTCACTTGATGATTTTGCTGGTAAAATTAGTCAACTTGCAACACAAGCAAACAACCTTGGGTCTCCATTTGAAGACAAAAGATTTGTTCGAAAGCTTTTGGGTTCTGTGCCTGAAAAGTTCATACAAATCGTTGCTGCAATTGAACAGTTTGCTGACATTAACACAATGCCGTTTCAAGAAGCGGTGGGAAGATTGAAAGCATTCGAGGAACGCATCAGAAAGCCAACTGAGGATGGAGATACACATGGTAAACTATTATTCACTAAAGGTGATGGAAAAGAGAAGGTTCAGGAGCAGAAATGTGAGCATTGTGGTTGCTGGAGCTCAAACCGAGAAGACTTTGGACGTGGCCGAGGTAGAGGTCGGGGGTCCGGGAAAGGTCAGGATGGCGGTCGGCTTCAGCGGGATAAGAGTCACATTAAGTGTTTCAAGTGCAATGAGTTAGGACATTTTTTGAACGAATGTCCAAAATGGGATCAAAAGGAAGACATTGCAAATTTGATTGAAGATGATGATGAACCAACATTATTGTGAAGATTGGTGTGAACAAACAACGATTAGGGGGGTGATTGTTAGATTTAATCGTATTGTTTAATTCCTGGTCATAAGTTATTAGTTTAGATTTAAATTTTAAAAATAAAAGGGACAA